TCCGAAGGATTAGACAGCTGTCCTTGTCAGGCCCTCCGTACTGCATCACTGACAAGGGGGAACCACGCCGGAAAATCTGGATGAACTTTCTCGGCCAATGCAGGGATCGAACACCCGACCTCCAGGCTAGCGAGCCAGCGTCTTACCCACTTAGCCACGTGATCCCAAATTGCTTTGGAACAGTTTCTTTTATTTTGTATAATATTTACTTTAAAGGGACAATAACACTCTTGCTGGCTTGAAAGCTCCAGAAAATAAATAATATCTCTATCTAAGTACTAGATGTTTAAGTGTCCCACCTGTTGTGTAAATTATCCATTACATCCTATTTTACTTGTCCAGAGGGTTCGAAAATATTTTTAAATCGAAGTTTCATTTGAAAAGGTTTACGTTAGACGTTTCAAACCATTATGTTGAATTTTTCAATTTTTTTAAATAAGGTGTGTTAAGATGAAATTTGTATCATCAATTAATTGAAATATTCTAAAATAGTTAAATTTGTTGACCAGAATAAAGATTGGGACATATTATTCAGTTACAACAAGAGTGGTATTGAGCCTTTAAAGAACTGTATTAATTTGGTATCAAGCTCGTAATTAGATAAAATTGTGAGGGAAATTATAACCTCCAACCCTGTCTTTGGTTGTGTACAGATTTACACTGGTAATTTTAATTCATAGCTATTGATTTTGTTTGGTTTTTATTTACGTTGTTTTCATTGTTATTTATTTTCTTTTTAAGATTCAAACTAATCCAGTTTAATTTTATGGGAAAGTTCAAGTAGTGGTTATATGAAAAATGATCTGATGTTCACATGATCCCAAGGGTTTGCCGAACCTCAATCGAGTTTAACCCCAACAAGGAATATTATACATCAAAACTGTTCATTTGCCTGTGCATTTTCTAGTATAAGTTTATCATCATTTGGAACAAATGGTTAAATTACTATTCAAGATAACTAATTTAAAAAACAAGAACAACAATATGTGGTTGGAATGATCCAAGGCTCTGTTCAAAGATATTTTATTCACATGACAGTGATGCTTGTTAAATAAAACTTGTGAATTTAACAGATAATCCCCATTGATAAACACTAAAGGCAAATAGAAATGCACAAAAAAACCCATAAGCTTATGATAATAATGATTAAACATACATTATGCAAGAGCTAAATCTGCCTATTGCAGGTTTTCTTTAGGCCTGAAATGTTTTCTAAATTATTAATTAGACATTAATTAACTTATCCAGGCCTTAATCAACTCTCGATAGCATTGGATTTCTCCAATATTAAATAGATTAGAACAGTTCAGCCATATTTTGATTTAAGCTAAAAATGGAGGAGTGAGACTTTACTTCGAACAACCAGTACGATGGTTGAAATTATTGCACACGTCTTGTCAAACCTTCAAAGGCCTTCAAAGGCTAATATCTTCGCTCGCAATAGAGTAATTTGAATGAAATTTTCAAATTATTCATTTTACATTATTTATCTTCGAACTATTATAGCAAGAATGGCTAGCTCTTTATGAAAATCTTACATAATGTATATTTAAGAATAATTTAATACATTTATAAAGCTCACACATTACAAGTAGTGCACCTGTATAAAATTTGTATAAATTTTGTAAATAATTGTTAATATTTTATACTGGGATGCAATAAAAATAATACATCACTTTTATAAATGGATGAATGTAAATCTTGTTTAGAAGTGAATCCAGGTTTAACACCCTACTTAGTACTTTTCAGCTCAATTTTGTTTTAAAGATTTGCTTTAATCTTGCAATTAAGGATGTAACAACATCATATTACGATGATAACATGTGAGAATGTTTTGAAGATTGTGTAAACGCACCCCGAACAATTCTCAATCAAAAAAATTAAACCCAACAGAATCAGTATGTTGATTTTTCTGGTACACACGTGGGGTATATAATGCAGCTTTTAAAAAGCTAGGTTTTGTGCAACTGTGGAAGGTGCAAAATTATGCCACGTCATCTCAGAGGTGCTATTTCATTGCGTCTCGATATATTTTGTTTACAATTATCAACCTGGCCCCAAGTTCACAAAGCATTCCCAGACTTAAGAATTTGCTCAACTTTCAATCACTGTTTTTGAGAAATATCTTTGATCCAGAAACACAAAACTTTGCACATAGTTTCTTATTGATATATTTACATTAAAACAACAATAGTTAGTAAATTGCTATATTTAAGTTAAAATAAGACAAACAATTTTGAGTAAAACCTTAGGGCCTTGTTTTCTTTTCATTACTTATTATCTACAATACAGTAATAACAAGAAATAAAAAATCTGTAGAACACTGCTGATTAAGTTCTAGATTTAATCCTAGATTCAATCACATTTATATTTTTATACTTCCAATATCGATATTAATTCCAATAGAGCCAGGAAATGTTTAGTTTAATTATACACTTTCTATTTTGTTGTATGAAATTATCTGTATAATCTGTGTTTTTGTTACTTTCATTGTGTGAAATGCTTGCAGCAAAGTGCTGTAAATAAAATACCTGACATCACTGATCACAGTTTAACTCTTTTACTTCTCATTTGACCTCAAATCTATGTGGAGTGGAGTCAGTTGGAAGAAATAAATCAAAATGGAGTGAAATCTACATTTTAATCAAATTCGTACCACATGATTATATTCTACCACTTTTTGCTCGTTTATATGGCAACTATATATTATTGCTAAGCTATTTTTGAATTGTAAATTACATTTACAAGTATGTAAATATTGATTCTTTGAATTATATATTGTCAATCAAAATCTGAATATGCAATGTGCTATGCAGCCATATATGTGAAATAAACTATTATTATTGCTATTTACTTTCTCTGTAAATCTCTGTTAATCTGTCGACAACTTAAACAAATTTCTTTTTGAGTGTCCTCAACAAAACTATTACATACAGAAGCAAGTACACAGCTTTCGTAATTTATTTGTTGACTTATTTGTGTTCATGAAAAGATCAACCTGTCTAATATATATTACAGTTGTAGGCTGACATTGAGAATAAGACTGTAAATGTTTTGATGTTATGCCCCTACATATCTTCATATTCTCAACAGTTCTTATAAGTAAATCTATAGATGTAACTTTAATTTGAACAGGAAACAAAAATTATTATATTGTACTTCACAATTCAAGTCCTTGTCAATGGTTAAATGGTATGTTACACTTTTATCTTCAGTTTTAAACAGATAGATATAATCACTTGAAGACTGACATATTCATAAAATCAAAATAAAAAGGTTCCTACATACAAAACAAAAGGTTCAGATATAATTATTTTTTTTCCATGCTTGTTGATTATTCATACCGGGAACAAGATTATTTCGGAATTTAAAAATAAAAGGATTTGACAGGTCAAGGTCAGTCATAAATAAATATACAATTTTAATTTTTATGGAGCTGCTCAGTTAAAACTTTGACCTTTAAAAAAAAAATAATAATTAGTAATTCATAAAATTAAAGTAAAAGAAGATTGTTGAGAGAGAATCGTCATGCTGTCACACACTCATCGGGTGTAGTAATCGTCAATTTCATAACAAATTGAAAGTAGACTAGGCCTAGCTACGGCACTAATGTAAACAAACCTATATGCATACAACTTTGATGAGAGAAAGGGTAAAATCTAACGGGCAAACATGAAAATACAGACATTCAGCTAGTATGGGTTTAACTTACCTTCATTGTTTCATTGTAGGTTGTCAGGGTGGACTGCCAACTAGAATCTACATAATTAATTTCTTTTGAGTTTTCACTTACTTTTTCAACGAAATAATCCGGCTCAACGTGTCTTGAACATATTGTCAAGGTCTTGTCATTTATCGGGTCTGATCTGGTAGACTGTATGATACGTAATGATTCTCTCTCCACTCTATGTTTTTTTGGGTAAGCGATAGAATGATCAACCCCGATTTCTTTTATTGCAGGCGGAACATCCGAACAAAACACAATTCGCGCCAGGCATTTTGTTAGTGCGAGCAGAAACCGGAAGTACGCTGTGCCCGATATCAGCGTCAGAAGCCCGCCGTCACATAAGGTAGTGACGTCACACGGTGGGCGTTCCCGTTAGTATTCTAGTTCTATGGTTATACAGTGGGATAACTCGTGTTTTCCTTTTGCGTTCGTCACTACCGATTGTTCAAGCACTGATTACGCATCTATCGTAGCAATCTATGTGATAAAATAATATTTGGAACGTGTTTAATATGTGATATTAACTGGCACCAATATTGTCCTTTAATTGTCATTTCCATGTAGAATCGCCCTTTGATGGGGCTGGTAGAGTACCTAGATTTGCTTTTAGATCCAGATTACTAGAATGACCAACACAATATCATCAGTAAGAAAGATTCCAAATATATACAAAGCTAGCACCGAGCGCAGAACAGATTAGATACTTGTAACCTGGAAAATGTTAGAAAAAAATGGGAGGTTGGGGTGTCCACAAGACCTCTTGTCTCTTGTCAAATGGTGAATGTTGCCACTGCCTCACTTCCGGGGGGGTTGGATGGCTGAATGGTTAGCGTGCGCGCGCTGTATCATAAAGTCTGTCATTGAGTCGACTGGCGTGGTTTCGAATCCCCGGTTGTACGTGGCAAGGAGTAGGGTCGCCTGTCCAGCCTCGTGGGTTTTCTCCGGGTCCTCCGGTTTCCTCCCACTGCTAAAGACCCCTACGCGCAAACGAATTATTGAAATAAAATTAAACCATATGTTAGTCCCGAAATGACCTAGTTTGTGTCGAGTGAACGTTATACCTCATTTCTCTCTCTCTCTCTCTTTAAATGTTATATAAACTCACTTCCGTTCTATTTACAGCATTATACTCGAAATTGTATATAATTCTCGTTAGACAATTATGAACCAGTTCCCTCAAAATATGTTAAGGATATGGTCGTGGGGTCACGAAATATCCCTTACACTGGGTACCTGTCAAATAACGAATTGATTTTAAGATTTGAATACTTACCTTAAATCTTTAAAATAAAGCTCCCGTTTTCCTCTCAGATTATTTAGAACGTGTTACACCTGTGGCCGGGTGTTCAAAGCCCCGTTAACTTTTAACGACTCGTTAACATACTATCACTTTTTCCATAGCATGAAATTCTATAGTATTCTTTTGGGGGCTTGTACGATATAACGGCCCCAAATATTCTACAGTTTGTGAAATATCAATGTCCATAATAGTCTATTTTATGATCATATACTATTCAAAAAAAGTAGGGGATATTTGATTTTTAAGTGTTATTAAAGTCACCTAATGAAACTGACGAAGAAACAAATGACAAAATGAAATGAAGTTCACATTCATCGATTTATTCCAAATGATCGTTAGACTTAGTAAGGCACAGACTGACCATTATAAGGGTAAAATGATACCCGGGGTCAAACAGCAAAGTTACCACAGCATCACAACCAAGTCAGTAACGGGTAAATCCTCCTCTGTTTGCTAAACAAGCATTGATCCGACGTGGCATACTCCTAATGAGACGTCTAAGGTCATTTTGGTCCAGATTGTCCCATTCCTGTTGCAACGCAGCAGCAAGTTCTTGGACATTGGCAGGACGTTGTTGACGTTGACGTAACCTCTGTCCAAGCATGTCCCAGACATGCTCGATGGGGGAGAGGTCGGGACTCAGTGCTGGCCAAAGTAAAGTGGTGATGTTCTGTTGTTGGAGGTAACCTGTAACGATCCTGGCCCTGTGACATCTTGCGTTGTCATCCTGGAAGATGAAACGGCGGCCAAGATGTTGTCCCGGTAGTACTGGCCTGTAACACGCCCTGCAACAACATGTAAAGCCGTTCTTCCAGCAACAGTGATGCCTCCCCACACCATAACAGAACCACCCCCAAATCGATCATGTCTGATGACGTTAACGTCTTGAAAGCGCTCGTTTCGACGACGCCACACCCTCCTACGTCTGTCCAAAAAATCAACAGTGAACCTTGACTCATCTGAAAACATCACATTGCTCCAGCGTCGATTATCCCAGTGTTGACGATCCCTACACCAACGACGTCTTGCCTGAATGTGATGATCTCTCACACAAGGGATCACGCGAGGACGTCGGGCGCGAAGGTGACCCCTATGCAGTCGATTCCGAATCGTCTGGCCACTCACTCTCACACCAGTGTCTGTTTGAAGACGAGCGCTGATCTGATTTGCTGTGATGACACGATTTCTCAAGGCCAAGGTACGGATAAATCGATCCTGGGCTTGAGTTGTCGCCCTTGGTCGACCTGAGCGTGGTCTGTCCTGTACAGATTGTGTATCACGGTATCTGGACCATAGCCTGCTTATGACAGACTGAGAAACATTCATCGTCCGCGCCACAACCGCCTGTGTTGTGCCGATCTGTAGCATGCCAAGGGCACGTAACCTTTCATTTTGGGTAAGCCGACGCATGTCAAAATTTGTTTTCTGGTCACTAAAACAATTAAACTGATGTTTCCACCCTGGAATTCAATGCCACAATGACTGTAACATTCAAAGTCAGAGTCGTGCAAATCTTGGGTTGGACCCCCATGATGATCCCAAGCATCACCTGCATTCCATGCGGTAGCTATTGGTGCGTTTGGGCGTCACATGTAACTGGAAATGTTTCTTCTGTTAGGTTCTATAGTGACTTTTTTCGTAGTCATTTGCATATTTTAGTATTATGCCCCCAAAATCAAATATCCCCTACTTTTTTTGAATAGTATATTATCAGTGTATAAAGTGCCCCTGAACACCTGATATGAAAGGGTGCGTGATAAATATGCTGCAATGGTATAATGATATACAGTTAGGGTATTTACTATTGGATCGTCGTATTTACACAAGTCTTGTGATCACTCATATCAACTATTTAAAGATGCATAATGTAAGATCTAGATAGCGAACTTGCAGTTCTTGATATTAAAAGGGGGGGGGGGAAATGGTTAACGCGTGCGCGTTGTATCATAAGGTCTGTCATTGAATCATTTGGCGTGTTTTCGTTTCCCCGGTTATACGTGACAAAGTGTAGGCTCTCCTGTCCAGCCTCGTGAGTTTTCTCCGGGTCCTCCGGTTTCCTCCCACTGCTAAAGACCAGGTCGAGTGGAAGTTAAACCCTATTGCTCTCTCCCTCTTTGCTATAATAGTTCAAACATAGATATTGAAAAAGAAATAATATTGAAAATTTCATTCAAATTACTTTCTTCTAGGTGAAGTTATGACTGGTTGAAGATATAGAATTTTTATTATCATTTTATCGTTCAATGTTTACATCTCGCAGGAGTTGTAATCCATTTAAATCTCCACCATCCGATGATCTAGAGAGTTGATTATGTCAATAAGTGTCTAATTAAAAGTTTATTTAACATTTAAAGAGAGAGAGAGAGAGAGAGAGAGAGAGAAAGAGAGAGAGAGAGAGAGAGAGAGAGAGAGAAATGGGGTATAACGTCCACTCGACACAAATTAGGTCATTTCGGGACTAACACATGGTTCAATTTTATTTCAATACTTCGTTTGCGCGTAGGGGTCTTTAGCTGTGGGAGGAAACCGGAGAACCCGGAGAAAACCCACAAGGTTGGAAAGGCGACCCTACGTACAACCGGGGAATCGAAACCCCGCCAGTTGATTCAATGACAGACCGTATGATACAGCGCGCGCGTGCTAACCATTCGGCAATCCAACCCCCCGAGTTGGTGTAGAAAATTCTAGGTATATTAAACTGTTCGCAATAGGAGGTATTTCTTACTATGTCTTGTTTGGAGTATAGGACGGGATTTATTGTTTTGATTATAATCACAATGTTACACAATAAATTATACCCCTCCCCTACTGAGAATTGTAATTAAAGAATGTTATGATATCATAGTTTATATTACATGCAATCGTATGACACCTTAATATAATTACTATGATTATTTCTACAAAGATCCAATTATAGTCTTTAATTACGCATTGTTAACCAGCCATTGGAGTTTTAATGCCAATAAATCATATAGTTTATACAGCTCGACGTAAGACTTAAAAAATATATATGGTTTAACTTGAATGTAGATATTAATCATCTATATTGCATGTATATGCCTGTACAGCGCTTAGAAATAACTATTGCTATAATGTAGCGCTTTAGAAATAAAATTATAATATACTCTTCAAAAAAGTAGGGGATATTCAGAAACAATACAAAACTGCGGAAATGCACTGCTGTTTTCATTAGAGGTAACCAATGTATGATAATAACAGGCCAATTGCCTACACGTGAACATAAACATTTCATATGGGCGGCTTATCTGACGGCCCCATTTCACTCGCAAAGAGATACACTGTCAAAAGTGAAAATGGAAGTTTTTGATTTTTGTCTTAATAATGAGTAATTGCTCCACCAATCCCCAAACATCCAGCAATTCGTTGTGGCGTGCTCCTAATCAACCGTCCAATCACGATTTGGGGCAATCTGACCAACTCCTCTTGCAGTGCCACGGCCAAAATTCTTGCAGTGTTGTCGGTTGACGTTGACGTCGACGAACACGTCTCCCGATCAAATTAAACGTAACACACTAAAGCAATGATACACTACACAGTAAATCTTATGCAAGAACCGATAGGAAAGCAAACATGGATAGGATAAACTAGCACACGGCAGTTTTCATCAACCCTTCCTTGAAGTGTTAAATTTGACAATAAACCCCTCCCGCGTGTATGGCGCTATTGCGTGTATCAGTCGCGTGTGCAGCTCAGTGGTTCTATTGGGGCGATAAGTTCTTCATCTGTCAACATACCCCCAAAGCAAGTCAAGTGTCCATGACTATTTATCATATCACAACCTGCAGTTGAATCATGTTATGTTCATATTGTCTTACGTATTTGCCAACGTTAAGGTGCGCTTGTTCTATTGTTCCATTAACCTATTCAGATTTGGTCAAAAGAACTTAGTACTTAAATGGCATTTTTCCAATAAGACCAGCGATAATTTCGTAAGATTTGATTTTAACTATGTCCCTGTTTTCATATTCTAAGTAGGTAGACTATTCTTATCGGCTTTTATTAGATGGCTATAGATGAAAAGAAATGGGGTTTAACGTCCTACTGTTCTGTTCCGACTGGGATAATGAAGACTGGCATATACGCCAGTGCACTACGGCACACTCTTATATCGAATTCCAACTAGCAAGGGAACCTTAACGGCTTTTTGTACCATCCGAAGGACTATACGTTGTCCCTTGCCTGGTCTTCTGTCCTGCACCACTGATAAGGGGTACCACGCCGTAAAATCCCAGTGAACTTTCTCGGCCAACGCAGGGATCAAACACTGAACCTCCAGGTAAGCAAGCCACCGTGTCCCCCAGCTATAGATGAACGATGATGTAGAGTTTCAGTTTGATGAGTTGTACAGCGGTTCCACCCTGATCAGCAGTGGATAAGGATGACATCGATGCGACTTAATGAGCCCCAAATATTTACTTTTTTACTCCGACAAATTAATTTCTAAAACATTTTTTTTACTCCGACAAATTAAATTCTTAAACATTTTTTTTAAGTATTAGAAAAATAAATAACGACGTTTGAAGTATTTGTAGGTAAATATTATTTCCTATTTAGTGTAAATGGGTATAAAAATGAGTAACGGGCAGCATTCTGCCCGAAGCAGTAACGTCTTCTGTAAACATTGCACGCCCCATTGAGCCAATGATTGACGCCGCGTGACGTCATGTGTTGAAGGCAGTCATCTTGATCCTTTTACAGAGATATTAGAAGACTTTCGTAATCCTCCGTGAAACAGATTGCAGCGGTTCATGGTTTCCAACAGTTTTCCGAGCGTAGTTACAATACAATTGATAATGACGTCACAATGAGAACGACGTAATGCCATCAAAATGACGTTACGGCGTCATAATAAGATCGTAGGTTATGTCGGCATTTTTGAACTCGCGAGTATCGATATCCTATAGGCCGTTAATACATTTATTTGCACTAAAGTCAACCGATTCGGAGATTTTGGAGATTTTCTGGTCCACTGGCGGCCATCTTGGATTTATGTTACTTATGCAAATTTCCCCAAGACCGATATAATGGCCGCTTTTGTTATGGAAGTACTAGAGACCATACCTGAACGGTTCCCAAAGAAATGATTTCTGTTGCAGTTTGTTCTAGGTGTATTGTAGGACATTAATAGGAAGGCATTATCTAACTCATCCAGGCTTTCGTGACGTTGATACAAAAGAGATAA